TTTTAAATACAATAGATATTGTTAAGTTTATATTGTGTACTTAATAAAATATATAATATTAAAGATGGAGATATTTTATAATATTTTGAAATGTGCGTTAATCTCACCTAAACCAATTAGTACAGGACCTTGAATCAACATTTGATTTATCCAAATCGGCATATGCATTTTGTGATTTCATTTATTTGCAATAGCTCATTAAATATGTACATTTTAGTAACATTTGGAACGAAATGAAAACTTTCATAATGACAAGTAAATAATTTTATTCGCAGTCTTTTGGTACCTAATGTAAATAAATATAGCAAACATAAAATTTATGCTGAATTCCAAGCTCGAGTAAACGTCACAAGATGATAAATTATTCTATATCCTTCTTAATGCAATCATAAAAGAGTATTATTTGATTAATGAATTTTACTTCGTTGTTGAATGCTTCTGATAAGCACTTTTTGGAAAAGCTTTCCAAATTTTCTCTAAGCTAATTTCCCTAATGACTTATTTCAATGCTCATCAAATGCTTTTATTCATATATTATTCACAGCAATAATGTTATTGTACTTTTAACTAATTAAGGAAACTTTTCTGATGCTCAAATATAATTTTGAGAATTTGATAATTCTCTAATAGCTATTTTTACTTCAACATCTAATGTTTTTCATTATCGTCAAATAATCAACCTTAATAACTTTATAGTTAATGATGCATTGACTAGCATTTGCCTTTGAAGAAAGATATGGATTTGGAATGTGCGTCTCAACGTATGGAACAATGGTCATCGTGTTATATTGTTAAGTCCTGCTCATTAAGGTGGTCGAAAGGAGCAATTAGTTGGCACTATCAAGCGAGAACTTTGGAAGTCTCTTGAGAATGCTTTAGCAAACTCGGTTTTCAACTCCTTCCATTTAGTGTACCGAAAGACGTTACATACGTTTGTGTGAAGCCTCCTCCAGAATGGTGAAGTGACTTATAGTAAAATGGCTTCACTTAGTCCACTGAGGTATAGAAGCCACGTTTTCAAAGCATAAACTGCTGCCTTGTCGTTTAGCGCACAATATAACCCACAAAACTCGAAAAAAGGAGCTTAAAAGACTTCTGTAAAGAAATCGCCCTTGACAATGCTCTCCTATGTACCAATCAGATTAATGCATGCCGATTCTGTGCACAAGCAAACGCATCGATTCCGAACTTTTAATGAATATTAATCCAGTCAGGTTAGACATTTCTCTATTAGCTTTCTCAAACTCCTCTCCAGCACGTTCCTTAAGAAGCTACCACTTGATTTTTCTGAATTTCTGAAAGCAAAGAAGTTGATTGTCTACGCTATTATCGCTGCAGTGGTAATACTTATTCTGCATGAATGCCGTCCATATCAAGTTTCTGTCAGGCTTTTGGTTAGTCGATCATTAAAATACTTCCCTTCTGTGATTATTTAAAATTGAGTGAGGTAGTATTATTTATTAACATTCTGTCATTCCACTTTTAGCATTCCTTCACTTCAGAAACAAATTTAATTACGGCCATTTAATTAATTAATTGCATTTTGTTCCAAATTAAGTTCTATTGAAAATTTCATTTTTCTCATATGTTCTTCTTCTAAATCTAGTATTGAGTCTTTAGTCAGTTACTACTTTTGCTCTGTTCTCAATATGGCTAGAGGGTTAAAACGATAACTTTGTGTTAACCCTATCTGATTTAATATTCATCTGGATTTGAAAATGATCAAAGAATGAAATTTAGATTTGGTCATGTGTATATATTAACAAGATCTGGGTCCACCTATTACATCTATTAATTACATCTGATAACTCGAGTTCTACCTACTGATGAGTGTTCAAAAACAATACGAATTTGAAGTTCAGAAAGCAATTCTTCGAGTTCAAAGATGGCAAAGTAGATTCTTGCATAGGTGCATAGTTACCAAGGGCTATTAAGCAAAGTACTCGATCATATTTTCAATAATAGAGTTTTAGGCGGTTTGAGAAACCATAAGAGGATGTTTTTCAGGAAACTTGCAGTTTTGCCAAATCATACGTTCTTTCCCTTCTACTTGTGCTCTTAATGCAAAAATAATAGAGTACAAGATTCGTTTACTGATAAAAATGTCAGTTGACAAATTTGTTATGAAACAGAGTTTTTGTCAAATTTAAGGCTCAAATTGATGACAGGATGCATGATGTCGACCCTGGTGCCATTCACATCATGCAAATGGTGTTGGGTCCGAAATCGTCTCGATTCCAACTGACCTTTCTCAAAAGCCTCTTCACCACTCACTTTCAGAAGGAAAGTGCAAAGCCCATACACCTTCATCTCCTCACTGATATGGCAACCCAATTTATTCTGGATGGAATTATCCAACAAACTTAGAACTACTTTCTATGCTACAGAACCTATTCAAGTTAGTTTTCTGTGATATGTCATTATTGCGGCCTTTAGTGTTGTATAATTGTTGTTTTGGATTCATCGTATTCTTAGAGTAAAATTACATGGGTGAAAAGTCATCATTCTGCTACAAAGGTGGCGACAATGAAAATGTACTTACCAGAAATCTTGAACTCAACAGTGCCAAAGGTCGATCGTTTACATAAGCCAAATCTGAATGTGCGATGGATTATAATGAATCGTTTATCTCATTATCGAAATATTAGGTACTGCTCCTTGATACCGACTCTGTCTTCCTTGACGACGTTGTGAACCTGTGGGAGCATATTGACAAATTCGACAAATATCAAGTAAGCTTACTTATCCACCATTTTTCATCAAGTATTACATCAGAAACGATAGCATGATCGCAATTCAGTTTATTGGAAACCTTTGACTGAGAGTAGGGAAACCTGAATATCCACTACAGCATTTGCACGCGTTCCACCTCCATATTGTCATTAGTGCGGATTAGTCAGTTCAAACGAAAGTGTCTCCTTTAAAGCTGTACATATGCACAGATTAATTGCGTATGACCTTTGAAGCCAGAATAAAGAAAGCTTTTCTTAACTTTTTGGCATTTGTCCAAGTGAGGATAACAACGAATTCTACTTAAAGGTAAGGAAGTTATGTTTAAAGCCAAATAGATTAGAGAGGTTAAGAACACTTGGGAAAATTTTTCTTTTCTTGAGTAGAAAGCCGTTAATGTCTTCAATAAACCATTGTCAGAAATAGATCATCACGATTCCGCTTTTAAAATAGGCCAATCATGTGTGCACTACTGCGATTGAATCTTTCTGATGGTAACTTAGTAATTCATTACCAATGTGATTGATCACACAATTCACTAATATGTGGCAAACGCTCGAACTCAGATTTCACAGATGCTTAACTCACGGTCATTAAGCATCCACCCACACAGGTTTTGCATCTATTTATATGCCTATCACTCTTGCCAAAATGTTTGCCTAGGCAAATTAATTTCGTTACTCAAAAAAGGCTTTAAAAATAGTCACGAGCAAGTTATGATCTAAATATGCATACATTTCCTCAACAATTAGTATTTATGAAAGTTGAAACATATTCCATGCTTGCGTTTTAAGTTAACCGACTTTCGGGAAGGAATTTTATATTTCCGCAATATCTTTCTCACCGATTTCAGCTCAATTCCCAGTCGATATGCAACTGTACCTATCCATGCGTCGTCATTGGGAAAGGATTGGGTGAACAGCATGCCTAAAGCAATCTTTTCAATGTTGCCAAAACTAATTAACTGAAAACAGCCAAGCAGAAAAGATGGATATTTGGGCCAGGGTACTTCTGATTTGATTACAGCCCACTTGTCCTCCGCCGTTCCCTCGAAACGAAATACTTTATTTCGATGAATAGGAATACCGTGGTAAAGATCCTGTCTTTCCATGGGGCTAAGATCTAGAAGACTACGAATCAAACATCTTTCAGAGAAGGGTATATCATCGTCTAGGAAGACAAAGATTGGTCGACTCTTTCGACAAAATGTTGCAGCCCAAGTAAAGACATATTGAGATTTCAGGGAGAGATTGAAGTAAGTATCTTCATAGTCACCAAGAATGATATCCGAATTTGTTTCCATTTCTTGTTTCAAATTTTTAGCTATCTCTTTAAGGCCCTCGGGATTCAGAAATTCTCCACCACTAACGTCAAGTCGAATCGTTCGATTTCCTCGCATAAAAATATTATCCTTTTGCTGTCTTGGAATACCAAGGGAGAAAACAAGTCCAATTCGAA